AATGTCACCATACGACCTTCGGCAATGAGTAAAACCTATACTGCATAGTTGGGTATAAAAGGCCTCCAAATGACAAATTACAATTTTAAACAATTCAAATGAGAAAACTAGCGGCATGATTTATGTACAAAATAATGAATGAAAAACAAATATGCCTGTCTTGCAGGGTCTATCTGAACTTAACCTCATGTTCATGGTTTTGTCTGTTACTGGCATACTATATATGTTTCAAAATATTTGGTTGATGGGGTGATTGTAACAGAGGCGGATTTAGGGGAGGGACCATTTGTTGATTATATAGGGAATCACTGAAGCGTGACTGGAGCAAGCCTCTCTTAGGCAGTCCCCCCTACCCCTTTCATGAAGGTTCCGCCACTGTGTAAGGCTGGCTTGGATTGGTTTATTTGATCATTTTCATGATCATTGATAATATCAAATTTTGCGGTCGTATATTGTTATGACGTTGTCGTCGTCGTCGTCCGAAGACACATTGGTTTTCGCACTCTATCTCTAGTTTAAGTGAATGGATCTCTATGAAATTTTACCATAAGGTTCAATACCACAAAAGGAAGGTTTGGATTGATTTTGGGGGTTATGGTACCAACAGTAAAGGAATTAGGGGCCAAAAATAAGCATTTTTGTAACTTCCAGACATAACTTGTGTGTTAGTGTATGGATCTCTCTGACATTGTACCACAAGGTTCCATATCACAAAGGGAATGCTGGGATTGATTTTGGGGGTGATTGCCTCAAACTTTTAGGAATTAGCGGCAAAAAACGAGCATTTTTCTAGTTTCAGGACAATAACTTGTGTGTGAGTGTATGGATCTTTATGAGATTGTACTACAAGGTTCAATATCACAAAGGGAAAGCTGGGTTTGAGTTTGGGGGTAATTGCCCTAAACGTTAAGGAATTTGGGGCCTAAAAACAAGCATTTTTCTAGTTTCCAGACAATAGCTTGTGTTCATGTGTATGGATCTCTATGAAATTGTATTGCAAGGTACCATACCACAAAGGGAAGGCTGGGATTGAGTTTTGGGGTGATGAATCATAAGGGGGTTCAAAAAATTTGGGGGAGGGATTTTTTTTTCTTTAAAATTTTCCATTTTAAATTGGTTATTCCTGATTTATATATAAAAGCAAATAATAATGATATGGTTTGAATAGGTAAATTAAAATTTTTTTAGTTCTTAGACCACATTCATTCTGTGTCAGAAACCTATGCTGTGTCAAATATTTAATCACAATCCAAATTCAGTGCTGTATCAAGCTAGAATGTTGTGTCCATACTTGCCCCAACTGTTCAGGGTTCGACCTCTGCGGTCGTATCAAGCTGCACCCAGCGGAGCATTTTATTTCTGATACTTGTAGTAAAACTTTATCTTTAGGAATATCAACATAAAAACAATCATGAATGATGATTAGTAAAGCAGGTGAGATATTTCAGCTTGTGTACTCTTGTTAACACAAAAATTATATGGACTGCTGCCACTAGAAAATGAATGGACAATGAATGCTTGGAATGGACGAAATTCCTCCTTTTTACCCTACAAGGCTGCGTATTTATCTCGGAAGGGGGAGGGGGCACTTCCTAAATTCAAGGTAATAGGACGTGCCGCTGGAATAGGTCACCTTTTCATACTTGAAAATATGTGAATAGGTCGGGAAAACTATCAAAAATATATGATAAGGTCAATAAAGTTTCCATAACTTCTTCGTCTGGCATCTGTCTTGGTGTTCCTGGCTGTGATTTTATTAACCAAATTTTCTCTTTTAACACTTTGGTATTCTAGTTTTACATTACACTACATGAAACCCAAGCATTATAGGGAAAAGGTTACATTGTTACCTACGCAATATATGAAAAATTATACATTTTTGAAATTTAAATTATATGAAAAAGGTAGGCCCCAGCGGCACCCCTATATATCAATTAAGTATTGAAGTGCCCCCTCCCCCCCCCCCCCCCCCCCCCCTCCCGAGGTATTTATACATCCAGCTGTATGAACACCCTGTCATAGCAAGGGATTATCTGTCAGATTAGGGAAGTCATATTTCTTTACCCTACGATATGAAAATAAGGAGATGTGGTATGATTGCCAATGAGACAACTATCCGCCAAAATTCAAATTTAAAAGTCATCTCCATATTATCATCATAGGCCGATAATTACGTTTCTTTGCAGCTAGCAGGTGGGTCAAACCAGTGTTCACACATCATTAAAAAAGTTTTCATATATATTTCTTGCCGCAATGACACACTGCACTTTATTTTTTTTTAAATCGAGAACTTTCCTTATTAGCTTCCCTATTGAAAAAAACGCATGTCAAAAAGTAAGACAGAAGTTAAAGTTTGCCAATATCACCGACTAATATAGCGTCCCTGTGTACTGGGCGGAGTTTTAAAATTACAATCCCAACTTTTCCTGAACCTAGTAAGTAGTATAGATTTTGTTTATATATAATGTCTTTAACTGGTAGTGTTTGGAATTGCCCGGTAGACTGCGGATGTGTGTCCTAGGTAAAATCCCGACTTGGTCAAACCAAATATTTTGCGCTTCTCCGCAAAGCATGCGGTATTGAGGGATAATAGCATATACCGATATATAAGGTCGGAATACTAGTAAGGTCCCGGTTGCTATTGACCAATTTTCATCTACATGATGCAAATTATTGAAGTGTCCGGTATTTTTTCTGCGCAAAACAAAAAATGTGTTGCTCCAGTTCCGTTAGACTATTATAATAACTCAATCTCAATCTTAATCAATTATTTTAGTTTTTACGCTGATATTTCCTCTTCTTTTTTTTTTCTTTTTTTTTTTTTAATGCGAACTCTGTTGGCATATTGAAAGATACAACAGAAAATAGAAATTAACAAATTAATAAATATCGAAATAAGTAAAAGGAAAATATCATAAATAGAAAACATTGGCCCCGAGGTCTCATGTTATAGGACTAGACTTCCAAAAATCATTGAATCATTATACGAGAAAATTTGTTAGATATATTTTCGTGCCCATTATTTGATAAAGTATATAAATCTTTAAATAAAAATGTTATGTGTGACTGTCAAGTATTTAGTCTTTGTTTGAAAATTGTAATGTCCAAAATATTTTTTGGAAAATGAAAAAATACTTAACTATTATCAAAATTCTGCAGTGTTCAAATATTTCACATACTAGTACTCCGAAATTGTTATGTTCAAACATTGTTGGCAGATAAAAAATACAATTATCAAAATTTTGCAGTGAGAAAATATTTCACATACTCCGGAAAAAGATCCTACCAATACTTGGAAATGAAGATATTTCAAGTAAAAAAGAAATTTATGACAGTAACAAAATGTTATAATACGCCAAACGGATAAAACGGTTAAAAGCTCATTAGAGCTTATGTTGACTCTATTTGTATACTTTGTCGAATCTGAAAAACGCTTATTTATTATTATTTATTTATTTATCATCTATAGCGTGCAGATGAACCCCGATGCCTTTGTACTATAATAGCATACTATATGGATTTTACTTGTTTTTGAAAGCCCATAGGCGGATCCAGGGAGGGGGGGGCTGGGGGCCCGCCCCCCTCCCCTCATTTTGTGGGGAAAATTTGATTGGTTATATAGGGAATCACTGAAGCATGACTGGAGCGGTCCCCCTTAGGTCAGTCAGTGGGCCCCCTTACAAAAAGTTCTGGATCCGCCACTGATGCCGTAAGTTGACATGCAGTTGTTTACATCGCTATCCTTTGTTTACGGTTAACGTGACGTTGCGTCATTGGCAAAATATTTTCATATATATATATATATATACTAATACATCTAAAAGACATCTTTTGATATATTCAACCAGTATTTAAATGAAAATAAGATGCGAACGGATCCAAGGGGCGAACGTGTAGGGTGAGAATTTGTTTTTGGAGCGAACGCACCAGATACCGTCGTACATGTCAATATTCATATTTTCTTTTTTTTTTAATGTTATGCTTTAATATATCATGTATAATTCTGTCCTTTTTATGTGAAAAGTGAACAAACCACTCTGTAGCTCTGACCGTACGTATTTCATGTTTTGTAGAACGTTTTGCATGGTTTGTTGACATCGGGAAAGGGTGCTTTCATACACGCCCGCGTTCCAATGTCGTCAAAACTATTTTTGAGAAAACCCCTCAAAGCGACCGTTTCCAAGGCGCTCGTCGTTAGAAACATGCGTTAAAATATGCACACTGTTAAAGGGCCGAGCCACCTTAACATGACTGATAATATTAAATTTTCATTTTATCCTCAAAACATGTTAGTTCAAAAGTAAACTTCAGTCAAAAGAAGAAGTCTGATTGCAGATTTAGTGATTAGGCTAAAAAGATAATCTAAAAACCATCTAATCATAAACTAAATAATTATATGAATATTGATTAAAAATGACTAAGTTCATTAATCAGACTTTTAGTTTTTTGTTGAAATTAAGTATACAAGAAATCATGTGTGGATACAAATATCATTTGTTCAGATGTGCTGTTTTGTTTTTATTATATAAAAAAGCTAAACGAATAAGTTATTAGAATCTTGTTAATTTTTTGTGGTTTAAAGTGTTATCCTGTCAAGTATGTAAGCATAACGTGTTGTATCAAATAAATGTAAAGTAGATGTACGTGTGACCGTTATCCACATTCGAGTCCGCTAAAACGTCAACAAACACTAAAACAGCGTGTAGATTATTTGATATAATTGGTTATGTCTTCTACCACTTGTACACTTGAGCATTAAAGCCTTTCCTAGTGGCACTATTTTTCTTTAATGACAATATTAATATGTATCAGTATAAGTGATGTTTTATATGTTTTCTTTGTAAATGGTTTTTGAATATCACTAATTTTTACCGAAATCAAACACAACCGAACATGACATTCATTAATGTACATGACTAGTTGATTGTTAATCGACTTACTTGTTTTCTAATATTATCCTACAATTGTAATACTTACAATGTTCATTACTTTATCAAAAGGTATAAAAGAGAAAAGAATAAAACTAGACAAACGTAAGTACTTTGAATTGCACTTCTAATGGCATTTTCTACGATTTTTATAATATCAATTGAAATAATACAAGTATGTTTTCCTTTGCTTAAATATTCGGGGACAGCATTATCAATAAAATTCGTTATTGACAGTCACTTTGGTTCAAGTTTTTAAACAATGATGTTTAGCCAACACAAAAGTGCTGACAAATATACATAAAAAGCTTATTTAACCTCTCTTACGTTTGCCTTGGAATCTTTATTATTCGCTGTAAAATCCTTTTGATTTTGATTTGTTTATTAGGTAATTTTTTTTAATAAGTTTTTCTGTCATTGCTTTTTTGATGTGTATGAATTTTTTGTTTCTTAAGATATGTTTGCCACGTGCTGTCTCCGCTTTCGCAGTTTTCCCGGTTTAACGATATACATTTTCCTATGAAATTTATCACCCGTACTCTGTTTTTTAGCTCATCTGGCCCAATGGGCTAAGTGAGCTTTTCTCATCACTTGGCGTCCGTCGTCGTCCGTTAACTTTTACAAAAAACTTCTCCTCTGAAACTATTGGGCAAAATTTAACCAAACTTGGATATAATCATTATTGGGGTATCTAGTTTGAAAAATGTGTCTGACGACCCCGTCTACCAACCAACATGGCCGACATGTCTAAAATAGAACATAGGGGTAAAATACAGTTTTGGCTTATATCTCTGAAACTAAAGTATTAGGAGCAAATCTGAAAAGGAGTAAAAATGTTCATCAGGTCAAGATCTTACTGCCCTGAAATTTTCAAACACATCAGACAACTCGTTGTTGGGTTGCTGCCCCTGCATTGGTAATTTTAAGGAAATTTTGCAGTTTTTTGTTATTATCTTGAATATTATCATAATAATAATGATAGAGATAAACTGTAAACAGCAATAATGTTCAGCAAAGTAAGATCTACAAATAAGTCAAATGATCAAAATTGTCAATTGACCCCTTAAGGAGTTATTGCCCTTTATAGTCAATTTTTAACAATTTTTCGAAAATTTTTGTAATCTTTTACAAAATTCTTCTCCTCTGAAACTATTTTGCCAAATTTAATCACACTTCGTAACAATCATCATTGGGGTATCTAGTTTTAAAATTATGTCTGCTGACCTCGCTTGCCAACCAAGATGGCCAATATGGCTAAAAATAGAACATACGGGGTAAAATGCAAGTTTTGTCTATTATTTTGAAAACCATTATAAAGAGAGAAAATCAGACAAGAGCAAAAATGTTCAGGATGTTGAGCTCTACCAATTGTCCATTCATGTCAAAACTGTCAGATGACTCCTTTTAGGATTTTTTGCCCTTAAATGACAAATTTTACCATTTTTTGTCATTGTTGCCTACTATCTTGAAAACTATAATAGATAAAGAGAAACTTTAAGATGATCAGCAATACAAGTTCTACAAATAGGTCAACATGGTCGAAATTGTCAATCGACTCCTTATTAGAGTTATTGCCCTTTGATCATGATTTTGACCAATTATTTGCGTTTTTGCCTTATATCTTAAAACTATAATAGACAGATAGAAACTTAGCTAGGCAAAAATGATCAACAAAACAAAATCTACAATGAAGACAATATGGAGGAAATGGTCAGACGACTCCTTATTGGAGTTATTGTCCTTTAAAGACGATTTTCATCTTTTTTTTAACGTTTTTTTCATATATGACAAAAAATTATAATAGATAAAGATACACTTTAAATCACAAAAATGATCAGCAAGTCAAGATCTACTAACAAGTCAAATTTTGCGGATATAGTAAAGTAGACTGTGACTCTTTATAGGAGTGATTGCCCTAAAATGCGGATTTGTTTTATCCTCTTTTGTGTTTTGAGCAGAAACTAAAGAAGATACAGAGAAACTAAACAGGCTAAATGATCTGCAATACAAGATCAACAAAACAGATTTTTGTCATGAATTCTATTCTTGTTTACAATGTTTAAGAGTGTCCTTTGTTGAATATGCACATATACCAAGGTGAGCTACACAGGCTCTTTAGCGCCTCTTGTTTTTCTACTTATGGTAAAAATGTTTAGTTACAGGTTTTCTCCAAATGTTTCTCACGGCCTACATATGTTCTGTTCGTTTTTGACCGAATCGGTCGGATGAAATCTTAAAACTTTAAGTTATCTGTTTAAAATTGACATGTTTGACATAAGTGGTCTGTCGCTGTAACTGATCAACCTTAAGTCGGTAAGACCTAAACTATTTTAATGTGAGGTCTTTGGTAGATTACCAAAACATTGGGACCAGGTCAAAATTGCAAGGCCTTATTTAACCTCGCTTTTTATCAGTACTCCTTAGAATCCATAAAATTGACTAAAAGTTAACAGTTTGCATGAGGACAGGTAACCCTACCAGGACACATTACTCTGACTCCCGGTCAATCAATCTTTGCTGTTATAACTAAATGCCGCTTAATTAACGGTACAAATATACCAATTTTAAGTTTTTAGTTTAACCTGGCGAAGATGGCTCCTGGAACTCAACAAGCAATTCGACAATAAAAATATTAAAAAATGTATATGTTTTATTTTCTGCTTATTTAGAGGTATCCCATACTAATTCGTAAATGACAAAAAGCCTACCCGGAATAAACGTTTATTGGTAGAGTTACTGTGACATGATCTCCTTTCTAAAACCTGTTACCTAAAGTAGGTAGAATGAGAATAATTCTTGAGCTTGCCAGAAAACGACAAAATATTATTTAAGTAAATCGTGTATGATAACAAATTCTGGTAAATGAAGTTTTTTTTTTTTAATAATGTAAACACAGTTTCTATTTAGTGATGAAATCAAATGACTCGTTTGAGGTGCGGAAATTGAATTTCACCTTTAAGAAGTACAACTTTTAACACAATGGAAAACATGTTTATATTCAAATGACCAAGCATACTTCAATAACGATTTTGTTATTGTTATAAGGTCTGTTAGAAATGCAAACGAATAGAATATATATGGAAGCAATAAAAAGTGGAAAGGATGTCAGACGATACGTCAGAATTAATGTTATTGGTGAAAATGGTGCTGGCAAGTCAAGTCTTATACGTAGATTACTTGGACAAGATATTGATGATGTAAAAAGAACTGATGGAATAGATAAGATAAACAACATTCAAATAAGAACCAGTGATGGGGAATGGATTGTCAATAAAGGTACGTTACATCAGTGATCTAACAATTAAATGTAGTGTTACATACTGCTCTTTAATTGGTGCTTGCACTCACGCTATCGGGTGAAAGGAAAAAACATATCCCAAACAATAAAAAAGCAGATAATTAAACTTTTGAAATTTATAAATGTGTCGAACTAAACAGCTTGCAAATATGAAAAACAAAAAATTCAGACATACAGTTGCAAGGAAAAAAACAAACACAATATGTCTGCGGCAAACAGACAGAATATTGATGACGGATATGAAAATGGCAAGCGTTATAGCTTACCGATATAAAGCTTGGAAAACTATCTAGAAGTTCTAATCGGTATTCCCTGACAAAATAATCGAATGTTTTTCAAAAGTGCATCAATGTAAAGAGGACACAGGAATGCAGCAAAGAGAAATTAGATAGGTGAGTGATCTGCTAATCTATCTCACTGTAACGCTTAATTTTAGGATGATTAGTTCAAAATATGTAATTGGATGGATTTGTTGTTGTTCGTGTTGTTAAGAAAAATAAGGTAATCATTTTGATACGTGCATCATTGTAAAGAACACACATGTATACAAATAAACTGAACAATCGAATGACTGATCTTAAAACTGTATGAATAATAAATACTAAATAGAAACTTAGAATCGAATTGAACATTAATGCTGACCGGATGGACAATAAGAAACCAGCATACTTCTTCCTTTAGAACAGGAGCAAAGTATTGATTCATTTGTTTTGTTCATGACGTTTTTCCTCGTCTAAGATAACGTTTTTAAATTACTTCATTGCAGATGTTACAGATATGAAATCTGCGGATTTTGTAGAATGTGGTCTTTGGAATTTTGCAGGCCATACAGACTATTATGCCATACACCAAAACTTTTTAACTCCACATGTCATCTATCTTCTTGTATCAGATATATCTAAAGACAGTACACTGATCTACTACGATCATGACGATGAAGGCTTTGACTCTATTGGAAGTAAGATTATTTTAATAATTCAAAATCTCATTTACTAGACAAGATTATCTTCAAATAACTATTTTTTGAATATTACATTGTAATGTGTTGAATACATATCATATATACATACTATCCTCATCTACTGGTTTGTCAATGAATGCTGTTGCTAAAGACTCTAATGTACTGTAATGATTTTATTTAGTTTTTGGCGAGTATTGTTCCTTATCTTAGAACTATCAAATTTTGATTTTTAGGGTTTTTTTTGGTTATTGAGTCTGCAAGGATCCAGTTATCGGGCTTTTGTCTTCATTTTTCTGTCCTTGGCATTAATTTGCCATTTTTATTCAGAATCTGAGATAACACTGACAAAACAATACAAAACTGATATTTCAAATCTAGGATCTGTTGAGGTATTCATTGACAAACAATTAGATGTAAGAAAGGATGAGCTGTGTCAGTGTTATTCGGGTCTTTATCACTCGTTCAAGATGTATCTGACCAATGACTTATGATTGATGACTGATTGTTGCTCCGTCCATCTGTGTGTCCGAAGCATTTGATTTCCGGAGGATAGCTAGAGTACCCCTTGATTGGTTGAAATGAAAACTATACAGATGCTCGATATAAAAAAGGTGGAACGTCTATTAATTTTGGGGTCAATAGGTCAATGTTAATGTTACTGTAATATAAATAGAAACATTGTAGGTTGCGAAAAAACTTGATTGGATTGAAACATTTCACAAGGACAGTTATAGGAACATGAGCTGGCAGTGTCAAATTTTACAGGGATTAATCAAGAATATGAAAGTAAACATTAAAGAAGTAGTGCTGTGTTTGCTACATCCACATGGAAATATACCTTGATGAACTTTTCTTCCTTTTCAGTAGAGCTATTATTTTTCAGTACATGTTTATGCTTTAATGGCATATCAGGAATGTGCTATTGTGAGCACATCTTTGACAGTCTCGGTAAAAACTATTTTAAAACAATCCTCACTCGGTTTGACTAAAAGTTTAAATACAAGAACCTATAATTGAAGAACGAGTATGTTCCCCTCTACCATGTCTACATATATGCTTCATTTGTGTCGTTGATTTTTGTCGTTGAGTGTCCGTCTCAGTTACATATAATCTTTTTTGATATGTAAAACGTATATTGTATGGCTGGATTATTTTTTGGTTTCGCCATTTTGTTATGTCTTTTGTAGACTATGTTTTGACCCTTGCGTACCTATAAGTTTACTTAGTTGATATATGGATGCCGAAAAGGATTACAAATTTTAGCTAGTATTTATTACTTATTTTTAGACCACGTTGACTTTTGGTTTGACAGCATCCATAGTCTTTGTAGAGATTTTACAGGATATAAACTAAATCCACCAATCATTAATATATGCACGCACAGTGACAAGTATGAGAGTAGTGAAAAGGTATATTATAAGGATACGGCACATTTTTAACACGTTTGTAGCAACCTGTCGTTTATGGGTCTTCCCGTTTGAATGAATATTTCTGGAGACGCAAATACACATACACTAAAAACATAAAAAAAACTAGTGATTCTTTGGACACAAGCTGTGACCTTTTTATAGCAGACTTGTGTCTGTACTGTTATGAATCACAGTTTCTTAATATACGGCCGAAATTTACCTAAACGAACTTACTTTAAATAAATCAAATATTAACGGTAATATCCGTCTTTTCCTAGAATCAGATATTTCTGTTATACACGGGAGACTCTACACAAAAAGTTACAGCAAAAAGAGGGACTTTTCCTTCCATATTGTTAATTTTCCTTTTAAGAACTGTGATGTTCCTACGGCACCATCTTACGATGTTTATATATCACATCTCGTTCGCTATGCCCATGTCTGTAGTGACGTTTTAGATTTCAATGAACATAATCTATGTATAATTGGTGAATTAATAAGTCAAGTATTTCGTTACCACATATAGCTTAAAACCTTCACTAAAATCTTCTATCAGTCTATAGATAAAAAGATTTGGTTTGACTGTACATGAAGAAGACTTATTACAAAAAGGATAGCACATCCTAATTTTTTCACGGTGATGTTGTATACCGAGCTCATAAATTTAGATAGGACCCTTCAATTAAACTTATTCTAAAAGGTTACTTATTCAACACTGAAAATATATCTTTGAATACAGATTTTATCGGTTTTAATATTGATTTTTGTATCAGAAAATTAGAACAAAACTAAATATAATTGTTATACACATATTCACATTCAGAGTTCTACAATCTGTCGATACCTATATCTTGGCTTTGCACAAGGTCATGTTTTGATAATGAAGTTTTTATACTAAATCAATCGGATGTTAGATGTGTACTAATTGATATGTTAGTCTTAGACATATGATTTGTTTATCAGTTGTTATTGGGTTTGAACTATCTTTTAGTAACGGCGAGTACTATCAGATCTGTACGTTGTGTCTTAAGTGTATTTGTTAATGTTCTATGTACTTTGTATCGATCTAGTGAGTTAATACCTTTTCAACTGATTTGTATATTTTGTTCTTATGTAGTACTGTTATACCACTGTCCCTGGTGAGGGAGAGGTTTTGGCGCCAGCAAATATGTCTAAACCCGCCACATTCTTTATGTGCCAGTCCCAAGTCAGAAGCCAATAATTTAATGGTTCTCGTTTGTTGCTGTATATCATATTTGTTTTTCGTTCATTGTTTGGTACATAAATCAGGCCGTTAGTTTGCTCGTTTGAATTGTTTTACATTTGTTATTTTGGGGTATTTTAAAGCTTACTATGATGTATGGATTTTGCTCATTGTTGAAGGCCGAATGGTGACATATAGTTGTCAACTTCTACATGTTCTATGTCATTTGGTCTCTGGTGGAGAGTTGTCTCATTGGCTATCATACCACGTCTTCTTATTTATATATTGTTAAGGGTAGTCAATCCAATTTTTTCACCTCATTTCAAATTGTTTTCTTTTTCTTTTGGTGATTTCTTATAAAATGCGAAACAACCAGATGAAAATTTTGCATGACAATACCTAAATAAAGTCCTATTTTCTCCTGTATGTTTATGTGAAATTGACCATTATTATTAACTAACATCTTGTTTTTTGTTTTATGATAGCTGGGTTGATTTAGTTTAGGAAAATAAGCATACTATGAATATGATGTAAACAACAATTAAATATTTAAATTTTGTCTGGAAATTTTATTGAGATTGCATCAAAAGCACATTTAATTGCATCAAGGAAAATAAATTAAGAAATTCAATTTGATGGTTTAAATTAGTGTACAAACCAATGTTAGTTATTACTTGTTGAAGTAAGAAAAGTACTGGTTGAAATTTGCAGAACAAAATGAATTATAGAAATGTTTTATCAAGCAAAAGTAATAGCTTATTATCTAATACAGTACAATAACAGCTGCATATTCTATTTTCCTCCCCTTTTTTCAGTTGAAAGCAAGGGAATGTGAATACAAAGACAATTTTGATCGGAATATTAGATTTCACAAAAAAGGTGGTCACATGAGGAGAGACTTGCACTTTATTTCTAACACAAAATCTGATGAAAGAGACATTCAGGCATTGAAAGAGGACATATCAAAACTTGCAGATAGCATGGACTATTTTGCTGTGGCTCTTCCAACAAAATGGATTCAACTAGATGTTAAACTTTCTAATTTAAAGGATTCGAACACAAATATACTGTCATTTGAGGAAATATGGATAAGAGCCCAAGAAATGTTGACTGATGAAAAAGAACTTCATTCTTTCTTGAATTACCAGCATTCAATTGGAGACATAATATTTTTCGAGGATATCAGAGATTATATTAATTTAAACCCAAATTGGCTAGTTAAGTGTTTCGGGTGCCTTGTGTTTAATGAACGTTACAATAAAAGAAGTGATGACATCAGTAGTCCCACAGAAAGGTACCTGATGAAAAACACAGGAGAGGTATCAGATGAAATAATTGATCTGATGTTTGAAAAGGACCCTGACATAGCGCATGGACAATACAAAACTTATATACTTGCCGTGATGGAAAGATTTGGCATGATAGTAAAACTACAACGTAAGGTTTCAGACAACGACGGATGTCAAATAATAAATTCATACTTTATGCCTTCACTGATTAGAAAACAACAGGTTTCTGTCAAGACCAATAAAAAATATGTGGAACGATTCCTTGTATTGCTTCGCCTTGGTTAACACTTGAATTTGAATATCTGCCCCTTTCATATGCCAATCATATTCTATTCGATTACTTAAGAGAATATACAGTATGTGAAGAGAAGAATAGACAATTAGCCATATATAGATGGAAAGCATTATTCTATTTAGATAAATTGCGACTCCAACAATTGCTTATTTGCTTCTCAAAGAATGCTATATCATTGCAGATATGGGAAAGGGATAGTGTAGATGTTGCTACATATCATAGTGTTTTGATAGACCTATGTGAGAAAATTGAAGAGTTAGGCGGACAATTTAAACAGAACATAAACTACCAAATTAAAGGAAAATGCAGCCATGGGGATTACTCAAAAATGAGTGGTAGAATCAGTCTTGAAGAACTGACTGAGGCATGTGAGGTTGGACAATACTTCTGTGGAGAACATAATTGTATGCACAAAACAGACGAAATGAAAAAAACATGGATTTCACCCGACAGTACTACAAGTGCAATTTCCTATTGATTATGTTTATTTGCAAGTACTTTCTTAGTTTTGTTTGCTTCCATTTAATTTAGCAAATAATCAAAAACGTATATGTATAGAAACTTATCCGTATGTTTTTAAAGAGATTCGTGTTCACTAACAGCCATGCTTACATAACGATTGATCATACTGGTAACTCAAATGATGTCAGTCGTTTTATTCCGCCTATCTCCGACTCATATCCGATAGCTACATTAACATCCATAGGCTATAGGCCGCTAGCGGCCGCAGAATTATTCGAGTTATCATAATGGTGGAATATTGTTATGTTGATAGACTACGAAGGAAAACACTATATTAGTGGATTTAAAAACCAAATAGTGGCAGTATCTTGTTGTAATTACTAGTTAAGGGTCAGCGCTTAATATGTAATACTGTTTTTATGACACTTATCATAACATTGTTATAATAAAGTTTTTTTTTATTAATAAATGAAGTGTTGTATATGAAGTGTAAAAAGATATCGTTACCTTTTCAACCAACTATTTTCAAACAAAGAATTATGATAACTGTTACATGTGTAACACAGCTATTCATCAGGACGCTTTCTTCATACAAAGGAGATATATTGGTTTACCTCTTTTCGAGGGAGAGGAAATATATCAATATATTTAATTTTTGAAAAACCACACCAAACATGTCAAATAAACTTCATTAATTTCAACAACAAGAACAAAATTTGAGATTCCCCTTAACACATGAGATATAAAAATAAGATTTAGTATGATTGCCAATGAGACAACTCTCCGTAATAGACCAAATGACACACAAATTAACAACTATAGGTCACCGTACGGCCTTCAACAATGAGCAAATGCCATACCGTATAGTCAGCTACAAAATGTATAAAAGTCCCCGAAACGACAAATGTAAAACAATTCAAAGAAGATACTAACGGCCTAACCTTTATACAAAATAATGAACGAAAAAAAACAAATATGATATACAGCAACACAAGACAACCACTGAATCACATGCTCCTGACTTGGGACAGGCACATACAGAATGTAGAGGAGTTAAACTAGTTTGAAGGCGCCAACCCTCCCCAATATGTTTACATTTATTTTGAATAATCATACTTGTTGACCAAATTAGAGAATGCATGGTTTCACAAAGATTTCCAGGAACAGTATGATTTCGGTATGATGGATGAGGATTTGTGTACTGTTACTTGTAAGAAAGAGTCTAAAGACATTATAATTGCTATTTATATTAGGAAAACAGAAGCTTAATAATGTTCATATCTCATAAATCGATTAAGTGGACACATCAAAGTGACAACAAATACTGACGGAATGGCATGCACTCTTATATTAGCGAGACCTTCTTCTTCTACTATGCATTCATCATCTGCAATGCAAATAAACTCAGTCAAAATGTTACAATCGGAGATGCATGAAATAGGACACAATCTGGAATATGACATATTCAGTAAAATAATAGATACATCTTGGGTACCAAATTTCGTGGATTGAGGAAAACTAGCTTTTGTGGATACTTGTTTTCGTGGTTTTGTCTGTATACAAACCTATAGAGAATTTGTATATCGTTGAACATTTAAATTCGTGGTTCACCTGTACCCACGAAATCAACGAAAATTGGTATCCCACGAATAATAATGAATCCACAGTAAGACAAACGTTTGGATATCTAAAGATCTTAGACTGTCAAACATGTCGCTAGTTAGTTGAGACGCAGACATCGGTTAACCAATTTGTGATTGATATATCGATGTCAGTCGTTCTTTTCTCATAACTCTGTTGGAGCGGTTTTTGTGTAAGTGTCATACTCTGGCTTATGAAGTGCGTGTAGTGTGAACACGCACGAGCGTAACGTATCAAATGTGATTTTTAAACGTAATTCGATAGGGCAGAGGGTTTCATTGGTAGGAAATGAGAAGTTGACGATACAAAAGTTGAAATCATCATGTTTCTCAAATATTCTAGTTTTAGGTCGCACATCCGGGTCACTATCGATGAAAAGATCAACACTTGAAGCAGACTTTCTAATTTACTACGATATATGAGATACAAGCACTAAATAAAATTTGATAGCAAAAGAACGGTCTGTCTCGTATATGTTAATGTAGCTATTCGCGGGTGAAAACAATAGACCACTTTCGAGTTATGTCCTTCTCCGAAAAAGTTCGTCTATTTTGTACGCCTTTGTGACGTTATTTACCAGATAGATGGGATCGCCTGTATTCGTGCTTTATTAAAGTTCACCAAGCGTCTTTGTGATCGTCATTATGCAGGATAAACTGGAAATAATATTTGTTCCGTAGTAGTTAATCACAATTCCCTAATAATAGCAATGCTGAATATCAATTATGAGAATTTAATTTTTTGAATTATTTGTGCAATATAGCATTATCCTTTTTTCAACCAATCGCTCAACATAGGAACGGAAGTGACGACGCCCTTAAACTCACGAATGATGTCCACTAAAATCAAAGTTTTTGACGGAAATGCAACGAACTCGAAAGTTGTCTATTGATTGGTCTTTATGCAATTTCGCCCATGGTAATGTATACACATTCTCCCATTGAAGATTTTGAAAACTTTTGCACTTTTGTAAATACGCAAATCGACAGTCAAAGCTTCAAGTTAAAAAAGCTAGATCATTTGACAAAAACAAAAATGCTAACCTAAAATGTCAATTTTTATGAACTTTGACAATGAGTTTTGCAAGATGCGTATACATATTCAACAAGGCGGACTTTGTAAAAGGATGTGACATTTATGTACAAAGCGCCTTATGTATGAGCTTATGTTTTTTTCTTCAAAATGAAAATACGAAGACACGTTTGATCCGTGTATAGGTCCGTGTATATTTGCGTCCATTCGTTTTTCATTTTGAAATATCAAAAACAAAAAACAAAAAACGAGAGTTTTTTCATTTTTCGGTTTTGATTTCTCAAAACCCAAAACGAAAAACAAAAGTGTTTTCATTTTTCGTTTTTGATTTCTCTAAAACCAAAACGGAAAACGAAAGTGTTTTCATTTTTTGTTTTTGATTTCTCTAAAACCAAAACAAAAATCAAAAGTGTTTCCGTTTTTCGTTTTTGATTTCACTAAACAAGAATTTTGTATTAAATTTTAATTATTTCTCTTTTATAATGTACAATGTTTTCCTTTCTTGTTTCACAATCATTGATAGTAAATAATGCCAATGTAAACACCCCGGTGTTCTTTCAACATAATGTAGACAAAATAGACCGCCTGACTTATGAATTGAACTACGGTGATAAATGAATCAAAGCCTTTCAAATTACCTTGTTTATATCTTTAATAAAAAATAAATTATTATATTTAAATATTAAACGAATCATAATTTTAAATTGTACAATACAATATTATATAAAGATGGTACAAATAAATAGATTGATTACAACATGACATAAACAAGGGAGGTTACTACTTTTTAAAACTTATATAAGAAAACTACCCCGGTCATTAAAGTATACATGCACAGTCACTGTGGTTAACAGATCTTTAATCGAAGATAATGTCGACGGATGCAAAAGACTTTATCAATCTGAACAATAAGGATGCGTGATCTTCACTTTTAAATTTAGAAAGGTTGATCTCAGATAATTAGAATTCATGACCAAGGTCCATTATACGAACATTCAGGACGATAATGTGTTTTGCTTGATCAATTGATTGAAAAACAAATTTCCGCAATTTCACAATTCCAACCGGGATTAGTATTCAATCATTTTGCCATTCGGAGCTTACTCGGTATTAGTTTTGCTTATTTTTGAAAGCTATATGGTGACCTTAACTAGAGCCTGGGTGTGGATGGGGGTGTACAGAATAGAGAATAGTGGGCAAAAAATATGAATAATAGAGACAATGGACCAAGAAATAAAAAAAAAAGATAAAAATAGAATAATGAGGTGTTAAAATATAAAGAGAACAGAATAATTGGCAAAAAGTATGAAGAAATAAAGAATAGAGAAAAATTGCCTGAAACACTGATTACAGAATAGAGAAAACCGGCATAGAATATCAAAGAATACAGAAATGAAGAACCCCGTATCCAGACCATCATCCTAGTTGCCTAAACCAACGTTATTTTGTCGCCGGTAGATTGTTATTGGTTATCATACGTTTTCTTTTTATTTCTATGCCTATCCATTAAGACGTGAGCTTTCATAATTTGCCAGCTTATTACATTATAAAAAAAGGCTAAGCCGAACATCACTCTGGTTTTTTCTCAAGTGGACCTCAGCTACCTACCCTACCACATCATAACCGAAAAGTTAATAAAAAAAATCTACGGCAATACTAGGTGCAAAGGGAAGTTGGGTAGCTGAGGTCTACTGGAGAAACAAATCCAGGGTGTTATTCCTCTTAGTTTTTTTTTAAGTAGGTCCAAAGTTGGGGTTCGCGGACACCCAATCCACCCTTACCGAAAATTTAATAAAAAAAAATTCTAAAGCAATACTTTTGTCCGCACTAAGACAAAGGGAAGCTTAGTAGCTGTGGTCTACAGTAGAAAAAACACAGGGTATTTTTCGGCTTAGTTTTTTTTTCTAATGTAGGTCCAAAGTTGAGGTCAGATACTCTACCCAACCCTTACCGAAAAGTTAACAAACAAAAATTCTATGGCAATACTTTTTTCCGCACTGGGTGCAAACGTAAGCTAGAGACCTAGCGCCTACTTGATCAAAATTCCCAGTTTGGGTATAGCACGGATTATTTTTTAAAGCTAATAAATAGTTTCCTTGCCTACCATACTTTGAGTACAAATAATAAACCTTTCGTCCAATCATAAGTAAGCGAAATCCACTGTTTCAGAAGTAGAATGTTTTGTCAAAACAGTTTTGTGTGGCAAAAAAAAAGTTAAAGCACGAGTGCAACTTTTTTTTCTTCTAATCGGAACAAATGTTACTTTTCATGAACTATTTGACAGGATGCCGAGAATATGGAAAGCTATTTCACACAATAGTGCAATTTTGCCAACATTTCATACTTATTTACGATTCTATATACACTCAAAAGTGTTGACTATTTGAAATGTAAAGCGTGCAGCACGCTGTGTGCTGTATTGAAAGCGATTTCTATTGTATTTATATAATTAATGAACAAGAAATGAAATTTTGAAATTCATTGAATAGTGTCTTTGACTGCTTAATTATATATTAAAAACTGATAATATAGTGGTTATATATTAATAAAAACATTTGAAGTACGTTTGAATCTTATGCAACATTTGGGTTTATATAAACATCTGAAAACTGGCTGCTAGCGAAGTGGCTGCTAGCGAGTGGCTGCTTGCTTGAACCTGGTCTCACAAACTCCGCATTTTCATTCACGTCTTCACATTACAGGTTTCAATAAACGTTTAGTAAATTATGTCAATGTGAAGAAAATGACCCGTATTATGCCAACAACTGGTTTTAGAATTAATTAGTTTATTTCCGATGCAAAGACCTT